TCTAAAATTAAGTGTATTTACCCTTAATTTGATTAGGTAAGTGAGATAGTTTGCCAATAGAATGAGTATTTTTAGTCTTAAAATAAGATATTAATATAATATACTCTTGAAATAAGACAACGCAATTATGTTTTCTTATTTTAAATGTAAATTATCTTGTTCCATTGGCAAAATGTCTCTTTTACCTCCTCAATCCAAGAACATAAATAGTCAATCTATTGGCAGATCATACTTAAATTAAGGTTAAAACATTTAATTTGTACTTATTTCTAGCTCATCTTTGCATTGTGACTGTTTTCTCACTGGAAAATGATCTAGAAATAAGTAAAAATGTCTTAAAATGAGTTCATTTACCCTTATTTTGAGTAGGTAAAGGAGATAGTTTGCCAATGGGATGAATATTTTCACTCTTAGTGTTAAGATAATTAGATAATATGCACTTGAAATAAGACAACGCAATTGTTTTTTCTTATCTTAAATGTAAATTGTCTAGTTCCATTGTCTCACTTTCCTCCTCAATTCAAGAAAAAATGAAATTATTTTAAGAAGAAATCAAATTTTTTGTAGTGCTGTCCCCCGTCGTTAGAGGAAACGTGTCCAACTGAGGCGCCAGCAAAGCGACTGCTGCAGCTCAGTCAGTTGACCCTACATTGTTTCCCTGTTTGCTTCATGTATCTTTTATTTAGCGTAACCCTTCAGAGCAGAGGCGTCCAGACTTACGATCGTTCAATGAAAACTGCCCTCAAACATGGAGGGAATCTGTGTCCAATTACAAGGCAGGGCAAATGTCAATAGATCCAACAGATGTCACCCACTTATGCCTATTTCCCCTTTAGAAGCATTGATTTAAAAGCATAATCGTTTCAGACTTAGGTAGCTTTATGTACAAAAATGTTTTCCTTTCAACTTTACTGTTAGATCAGGCAGCCATTCCCTTTCATCTTAAAAGATAAAAACAAAAAGAGGCGCTCTAAGTGAGGCAGATCTGCACAAAGCTTCAGGAATCTAATAATAGTTTGATGACATAAAAACCCAGAGAAAATAAAAGAATTAAATGTGAAAAGATTTCCTTATTCAAAAGGGTTTAGCAGGTTTGTTTAGAGCTTTAATAAGTTGTTTTTCAAACTTCTTCTTCTTTTCTGTCATGAGTCATTGTTGTAATTGGCTTCATTAATAAAGCTTTCATGCTGTCATTTCTGTTTGGGTTTCGTCCTCTAAAGCCTTTCTGGCTGCTGGAAAATATTGTGGAAATTAATCAATTTGGCAGACAATTAAAGTTGAGTTAAAATCCGTGGATGAAAAATAAAAACCTCCTCAAACCGTGAAAAGGAGCGTTTGAAACGTCGGCCATTTTTTATCACTATCCCCATGGAAACACGTCGTTTTTAAAAGAGTTGTTTATGATTTTCTACAATTTTAACGTTAACTACTTTGTTCTAGTAACAAATCCAACATAAACCTTTTCCCAGAACTGAAAGGTAGTAATTGATTTAGCCGTGGTTCCCGTCGATCATCTGCTAACGCTAAAGCTGCTTATTTATGCAGAAATCAATACATCATGTTAGAATGAGCTCTAAACGCCCAGAAGACGTGCAGCTACACCATTTTATACGTTGGAGAAGAAAACTGTAGCTTAAATCCACCGTTAGCATCGTTAGCCTTGGCGCTAACTCAACAATCAGGGCTACAGTAAGCCAGCAGGGCCAATTCTCAGGTTAAACCTTTACATTCATATTCTTAGAAAAACGTTTAAAGTTTCTGTATTTCTGCTGCATCTTATGCCTAAAATGTTTATTTTATTTTTATCAGAAAGAATCAAACAGACTTATTTTATTCTTATATCTGATTTTAAACTGTTTATTTTGGGAGGGTGTCATTTTACTTATTTTATTTTGCTGTAGGGATCTTATAATCTTATTTTTCTCTCTTCTGTAAACTGTTGCAACGCAAGAAAATAATTGAACACGAGGGATTAATAAAGCTTTTCTGATGACTTTATTTTATTAATCTTTTTTTATATTAATCTACCTAAAATTAATTTAATTTAAATATGTTTTACTAAAAAAATACTTAATAAATTTTAAATACACGCTGTTATCTTTTCATGATATGTTTTTTGGTTTAACAACCTAAAAACTGACAAATATTTGATGTATCTAA